AGCTTCATCAATGCCTTGAGAAGATTTTTCTCCATTCGAGGACCAGCAAAACAGATTCGTTCTGATTGTGGCACAAACTTTATTGGAGCCTGCAAGGAATTGAAGATCGTTGCAACAGACTCAGAGACAAGTAACTATCTTCAAAATCAAAGATGCACTTGGATCTTCAATCCTCCTCATGCCTCACATATGGGAGGAGCTTGGGAGAGGATGATTGGAGTAGCTCGTCGCATTCTAGATGCAATGCTTCTAAAAATTGGATCTACTCGTCTCACACACGAAGTCCTAACCACGCTGATGGCTGAAGTCATGGCTATCATGAACGCCAGACCTTTGGTCCCAGTGTCTACTGACCCAGAGATGCCAACCATCTTGACACCGGCAACGTTGCTGACCCAGAAGATGGAGATGGTGACAGCTCCCAACGGGGACTTTGATCTTAAAGACTTGTACACCAAGCAATGGAAACAAGTTCAAAGCCTTGCCGATATCTTCTGGAAGAGATGGAGACAGGAGTACCTGATGACCCTCCAACCACGCAACAAATGGCAAGCCGACAAGCCCAACTTACAAGTTGGAGATGTTGTTCTACTAAAAGACTCTCAGGCCCACAGGAACAAGTGGCCAATTGGACTCATTGTGGGGACTGATGCTAGTAGTGATAGCAGAGTCAGGAAAGTAGAGGTCAGAGTAGTAAAAACAGGGCACCCTAAGGTGTACCTTAGACCCATCACGGAAGTCGTTTTACTCCTTCCAGGAGTTTAATAGTGGCATATCATTATTATGCCAGGTGGGGAGTGTGCTGCCTTGTATTACACAAGGCATTCTTTAGCATTCAGCAGTGTCTGTCCCCTTAAGGCCTGAGACTTCCTGTCTGCTAACTTGGGAGGAAGTGACCTCATCTCTTCAGACTGAAGAAATTCTACAATGCAAGTACATGTGGGATGCTGTTCCCTCTTCATATATGGGCTTGATTAGACCCCCAAAGTCTGTAAGTACCCCTCCTATATACTGAGGAATGTTATGTATATAGCTAGGTAGTTAGATATGTACTCATGTCTGTTTATTCTGTTTGTATTTCAGTTTTACCACATTCATCCGCGCATTTATTCACGCACATTTATTCATTCTCATTATGATCACATGTTATCAGTAAAAGATCATCGGTTATCAATCATCGACTCTTTACTGTGTGAACATCAAAGGTTATACTGCCTGTAATCCTCTGTAACCCTTTCATAACTGCAGAGAAGGCAGGACACCAATGATGGGGCACTATTCCTCCCACTGACACCAATGATGGGGCACTATTCCTCCACTGACACCAATGATGGGGCACTATTCCTCCCACTGACACCAATGATGGGGCACTATTCCTCCCACTGACATTAATGATGAGGCACTATTCGTGCCCCATCATTGGTGTCAGTGGGAGGAATAGCAACCCCATTATTGGTGTCCGTGGGAGGAATAGCACTCTATCACTGGTGTCAGTGGGAGGAATTGTGCCCCATCATTGGTGTCAGAGCAACGAATCGTGCCCCATCATTGGTGTCAGTGGGAGGAATCGTGCCCCATCATTGGTGTCAGAGCGAAGAATCGTGCCCCATCATTGGTGTCAGTAGGAGGAATAGCACCCCATCATTGGTGTCCGTGGGAGGAATTGCGCCCCATCATTGGTGTCAGTGGGAGGAATCGTGTCCCATCATTGGTGTCAGAGCAACGAACCGTGCCCCATCATTGGTGTCAGTGGGAGGAATAGCACCCCATCATTGGTGTCAGTGGGAAGAATAGCGCCCCATCATTGGTGTCAGTGGGAGGAATAGTGCCCCATCATTGAGGTCAGTGGGAGGAATAGTGCCCCATCATTGGTGTCAGTGGGAGGAATAGTGCCCCATCATTGGTGTCAGTGGGAGGAATAGTGCCCCATCATTGGTGTCAGTGGGAGGGAATAGTGCCCCATCATTGGTGTCAGTGGGAGGAATAATGCCCCATCATTAGTATCAGTGACACTAATGATGGGACACTATTCCTCCCACTGACACCAATGACACTTGCTGACCCCTGTTCCAGTATGGTACTGCTGCAGCCAGCATATGTGGTTGCAGCAGCACCTCTGCACTGCACACTTACCTGCTTCTCCCTCACTCGATTTTCGCAGGTCCGCTCGGCTCCGCCTCCTCACCCGTGATTGGCCACCTGTGTGCCTTTCCTGAGCTACAGTTCTGGCGGCCAATCACCGGTGAGGAGGCGGAGCCGAGCGGCAGGAGTGAGGGAGTGGCCGGAGTGACTGAAGGAGCAGCGCTTCCTGGACTGGATCATCGTGGGAGCCAGGTAAGAGACAGCAGCCCTCTGCCCACCCCTGTACTTAGTGTCCCTTCCGTTGGAAGGGGGGGGACGGCGGCAGCACCGCGCCGCCCCCCTTAAAAGTGCCGCCCTGACGTGTTCCGGCGTATAAGACGACCCCCCGACTTTTGAGAAGATTTTCAAGGGTCAAAAAGTTGTCTTATACGCCAGAAAATATGGTACTGTACATACTCTCAGATTTAATCCACCATCATGAAGATATTCCTTTAATCCGTAAAATCCTCAAAAAAAGTTCAATATAGTGCATTATCCCACACAAATATACAAAGAATATATAATCACCCTGTGGTTACTGATGTGTCACCCCACTTAGTGTCCACATCTAAATGGCTGTATTAAACACCCTTACCTTATCAAAACTTGTTTTTAGCTCTCAATATCATATACTCCAAAACCATGTTCCAATCCGTCTTTTCTTTCTTTTTTCTTAAAAAAAAAAATAATAATAATAATAGTGCGATATCCTTTGGATACAAAAAAGTGCTTCCCTTATATTCACTGTGCACATGTAAATGTGAAATACACTCCCCATCACCTTACACACCATGCACCTTACCAGATTAAACACTTTTTTTAAGCATGAAAAGCTCTCCTCATCCAACCATCCCTACTCAGCTCACTCTCCATGTGGTAGCATAATGAGGGTCAACACAGAATCTTTATGGTGTAATATATCATATTCAAAGGGATATATTTTAATAAAGTTATGCTTACAATAAAAACTCATAGAAAAAACTTTGTGCTCCTTCTTTATAGGGAAAGATTGGAATCCTCTGTAAAATCTCAATTTTCGGTTGTATGTCTACCGGTTTGTGAAGAAGTTCGGAAGTGACGAAACGCGTCAAGGAAGCGACGTCGGACGTAGAATTACAACCGGAAGTTGCGGAGCGGCCATTTTGACTGAGTTTTTCATTCACAAATTTAGATTTTACAGAGGATTCAAATCTTTCCCTATAAAGAACGAGCGCAAAGGTTTTTTTCCATATGTTTTTATTGTAAGCATAACTTTATTAAAATATATCCCTTTGAATATGATATATTACACCATAAAGATTCTGTTTTGACCCTCATTATGCTACCACATGGAGAGTGAGCTGAGTAGGGATGGTTGGATGAGGAGAGCTTTTCATGCTTAAAAAAGTGTTTAATCTGGTAAGGTGCATGGTGTGTAAGAAGACGGGGAGTGTATCTCACATTTACACATGCACAGTGAATATTAGGGAAGCACAATTTTCTAATGATAAAATAATGGTGTAGCGCTGATAACTATATGTGCAAACTGCATAACAATAAGATGAAAAACATAAATCACATAAATGAATGAATATAAATATAAATATATGATAGATCTTTCAAGATCTAGAAAAACAGTGTCTCAAACTGTGATATTATCAGTACACAAAGTGCATATGATGAAGCTGGTCCTATGCCCGGACCCTCATACAGTGACAATACCCAGTCCCACTTGGGACTAAACCCCAAAAAAACTAGGTGCTATATACACTGGATCCCAAAATAAGGGATATGATCACAAATAAAATGAATGATATATAAAGTGTATCTCAAAATTGGGATATAAACCAAATAAAATGATTAGGGAATAATGTTAAACACAATATATAAACATAAACTTCATAAACACATAAAACGATGAAAAGTGTCCAACAAAATGCCAAAAAAAAAATAGCAAAGATGGCAATGGCTGCCAAAATGTGCCTATATTTTCAGACCACGTGCTATAGTGCTGGTGCAGATGGTGAGCATATATCCTTAGATGGCAGGCATTCCCCCTCACCTCCTTGCTGCTATCTATCACTTATACTGTATATTTATATTTATTCATTTATGTGATTTATGTCTTTCATCTTATTATTATGCAGTTTGCACATATAGTTATCAGCGCTACACCATTATTTTATCATTTATATTTGTCCACTTATAGGTAGAGGATAGGGTGTTAGCAGCATATAGAAATTAGGTTCCATATTAGCGCAGGGGGATCTCTGTCACTATCTTAAGCACAATTTTTTGTATCCAAAGGATATTGCACTGTTATTGTTTTTTTTTAGGAGTTATTGAAGAAAGAAAAGACGGAGTAGAACATGGTTTTGGAGTATATGATATTGAGAGCTTTAAACAAGTTTTGATAGGGTAAGGGTGTTTAGTGAAGCCATTTAGATATGGACACTAAGTGGGGTGGCATGTCAGTAACCACAGGGTGATTATAGGATTTTATTATATTTGTGTGGGATAATGCACTATATTGAGTTTTCCTTTTTTGAGGATTTCACAGATTAAAGGAATATCTTCATGAAGGTGGATTAAATCTGGGAGACTGTATATAAAAAATTTTGAGGATAACACAGACGCTGAAAGATTATTATACTGAATGGATAGATTATGTTAACTTGCTACTCCCACAGAAAAAGCTCACATACCAACATCGTAATGCTTATTGCAAGTTTCAGCAGGTGTGGCAGGGCTGGCTAGATATACCTGGGCTTGCCCCTCCTCAATGATTAGTGCTCTTGCAGGTGTGACCAGGGGCGGACTGACAACTCATGGGGCCCCCGGGCAACAGGGGATCATGGGGCCCCTGTGTCCTTGCCCAAACTCAAAAAAAGCCTATGAAAAAGGTACCAGGGGCATCTCATGGGGCCCCCTACTGACCCCGGGTGCCCGAGTTTCCAAATGGTCAGTCCGCCCCTGGTGTGAAATTTTATTACATGGCAGATAGCTCCACTTTTCCTCTCGGGGGGCGCTCACAAGTAGTGTATTTAAATTTTGTGCTGCCCTAGTGTCAAGGTCCTACCTTTTCCCAGAGATTGTGCTGCTTCATGTGCTGGCGTCCATCTTGGGTTTCTGCAGAGCATGGTGGGAGTCTTTTATGCCTTCAGGCCTCTGAGGTCCATCCCCCAGAGGGGTGTGGCTAATTACATATAAGCCTGTGATCTGCACATGCCCTTTGCACTTGTGTCTTTGTGTTGTTACAGCTCTGTGTATACGCTTGTGACTCTCCTGGAATCTGACTCGGCTTCTGACTAGACCATTCTCTGTGGTTTCCTTTGATCTGACCTTCCGTTGCTGAACCCGGCCCGTGACCTGTGATTCTTATCCACTGTTCTGTACCGTTTTGTCCCGTTGTTGTTGACCCGGCCCGGCCTGACTATGCTATTGTCATTCCTATCAGCTACACACCATTGGCAGCGGCCATTACCACAGCCGGGGTGTCTCGGGGGCCGTGACCTGGTTCCTGGCTGCGTCAAGTCCATCCCCACCATCAGGGGCTCTGGTGAAGGGCAGCCTGGGACTTAGACTCCACACCCTGAGGGTCTTCGGTCTGTGGGTGGTGGTTTGTCGTCAGTCAGTGCGTTACCCTGCCACTAGGCCTGCCTGTCCGTTCCACAGCCCTGCCCTGACACCGAGGCAACACAAACATTTTGTGCCCCCCCCCCCTCCCCAATGAGAGAGCAAGGGAGTTCAATAAGTGTGTGTATGTATGTATATGATGATTCTCTCTCCCTTTCTTTCTGTTCTCTCTTCCCTCTCTCTTCCCCTCTCTCTCTCTCCCCCCCCTCTATCTCTCTCTCTCTTCCCCCCTCTCTCTTCCCTCTCTCTCCCCCCCTCTATCTCTCCCTCTTCCCCCCTCTCTTTCCCCCCTCCCTCCCTCTTTCTCTCCCCCCTCTCTCTCCCCTCTCCCTCCCTCTTTCTCCCCCCCCCTTCCCCCTCTCCCCCCTCTCTTTCTCCCCCCCAACCTCTCTCTGTATCCCCCCCCCTCCCTCTCTCTGTCTCCCCCCTCCCTCTCTCTTTTTCCCCCCTCCCTCTTTCTCCCCCTTCCCTCCTCTCTTTCTCCCCCCCCTCTCTTTCTCTCCCTCCCTCTCTCTTCCTCTTTTTCTTTCTCTCTCTCTTCCTCCCTCTCTCCCCCCCCCTTCTTCCCTCTTCCTTCCTCTTTCCTTTATATCTCCCCCTCTCTTTCTCCCTCACTCTCTTTATCCCCCTCTCCCCCCCTCCCCCCCTCTGTCTCCCCCCCCCCCCCCCCCCTCTCTCTCTCCCTTTCCTCCCTCTTTCTCTTCCCTTTCTTTCTCTTCCCCCCCCCCCAGATCGTATGGGATCACACACACACCCCCACCCCCTCCCCCCCTCTCCAAGAGCTGCTGATCTCTGTGCAGGAGGAAGGGTGGGGGGAGGTGTGTGCAGTCCCATACGATCTGTCAGTGATCAGTGTCAGTGTAATCTGCTGGATGGCTGACAGGAGGGAGAGCCCACAGAAGACAACACAGCTCACCTCTTCCAGGCTCTTTCATCGCTTCTCTCCCTGCTCCAGGCATTCCCCTGGTCCTGGCTTGTCAGCTGCTGGAGGGAGAGGTGCATTGTCATTGCTTTGCAACTGTCCTCCCCCACATCGATCCTCCTGCTGTCCGCTGCTGCTCAAAGGGTCCCTTCTTTGGGGGGAGGGCGGTGCCACCCCCTAAGAATTGCCGCCCTAGGCAAACGCCTTGTTTGCCTTGCGGTGGATATGCCCCTGGCTCTCACGTGTATCCATAGTTTTCTTTGTTGGGATGTCTCAGGTAAAGCAGTTGTTTCTTACTGATTGTTTGTTTTTGGCTTTGTTCCTTTCCCCATTTATATATATATATATTGGGACGAGGGGAAATAAAGGAAAAAAGTTATGTATTGTCAAGATGGTCTTGGATCCTTGTGTTTTCTGTTAGTTTGGTCACTGCTTCTGATATTATGTATGCTACAGGATCTGCGTATCCCCATCGCACTAACTATGTATACTTCTGACGGTACTGTAACATTATTGATGATTCTGTAAGCACTGTTCCATTTTTTCATTGTCTTGACAATAAAAGTTGTTTGGATTGAAAAAAAATATATAATAATGCATAACTATTAATACACTTACAGATTAGTTTGTTCAGAGTGAAGGTGTCAGCACTGTGAAAATCCCAATCTTTTCTTTTTGGAATTACTTTCCAGTTACGTTGCCCCACAGTCAGGTATATGGACTAATTCACACATTTCTCCAATAACCAGTCTAAGGGTGTTGTTTTTTTATTTTTGGAGAATTGGGATAGGGATGAGGGAGATGAGTGGGATACTCCAAAAATAGGATCTATTAGAGCAAGCTATGTAAGAGTTTGGACTTGAATCAAACAGTGCCTCCAGCTTTATGGCAGTAGTAAAAGGTAGTAACAGTAGTAGCAGTAACAGTGGTAGTATCAGTAACTTCTTTAAAGCCCCAGAGCAATACCCCTTTAAATGTAGGCCAGGTGGACACCAGTCCTGTGGTAGACCCGCACCTGACTCCCTAGCACCAGAAGGGGTTAAACCGCACTCAGTCTCTAAGATCCTTTAGGGGTGTCATTACTCACAAGGCCTAAGAGTAGCTGAACGCCTTCCTCTGTGATACCAGACCAGATCTTCAGTAGACAGCCCCTCAGTCAGCACAGCACTTAGCATTCAGGCCCTCAGGTCACCCACCTGAAGCCACATGGCAGTAGTTGTCTGGGAGGGCAGTGTGTCCTCTCTCAGGCTTGGACGATCCTATGCAGGAAAGACCCAGAACTTCAGTGCTCACTGGATAAATCCTGCTACCCAGCATGCCTTCAGAGCCTCTCCCTGGTCAATAGGTTGGGGCTCTATCAATATTCATGCTGCCTTCTGCATAACACCACACCTATCATCCAGATACTTCTACAGTCTCCTGGATACAGAGGAAGCTATAGTCAGACTGGCAGCAGCTGAGCACACAGAGCAGACCTAACTAAGTGATCACAGCTCACCAAGTACAGAGATCTGACCATGCTTTTACAGCCACTCAGACTACAGTGGGATATTACATTTACCTATCAAATACCAAGCTAAAGATCACTATGTAAACCTAGCACCAAACTAGGAGGGAGCTACACAAATGTTATGCAGTTTGCCATAAAAGCATTTTTAGGTCACGGCCCCGGTCTGTCTCTCACACTGATCCGTGTGCTTGTTGTGTTCCACAGATCACCATCCCATCACCTCCAGCCACAGAGGCTGCTGGACTTTGTAGACGTAGTGAAGCATGGCTGAGACTGTACTTTCCAGGAGTATACCTTCTCCTGGTATTCATAAAGGTATGGAGGACATAGACTGAGCAGGGATGTAATGGGTAGAGTGGACATGATGAGTAAAATATGTCTAAAGAACCCCAGGCTGTCCAATGAGTACAGAGGTGATGACAGGTCAGTATCATGGGAAGCTGTTTTTAATAGGAGGGGCTCTTTGATTTCCAGATATCAGATGATATGAGGTGGACAGTTTGGAATTTGTGTTAGGTAGCAATGATCTGTTTCAAAGAATAAACAAATGGATTAGGCGCAACCTATAATCAATCTGATGGTGGCACTAAAATCATGGACAAGGTGCAGGGAGACATCAATGTATGAATAACAATGCATATACCAATACCATATAAAGCCGGAACCAAAAAGATATAGTTGATGTGTAGATATGAGTATTATATCAAACAGTAATTGCATGTCTCAAACCAGCAGGATGGACAGAATCATAATTCACTTGTGGCTGCCTTTCACTGGATTGAAGCTTAGTCCGGAGAGGTACATGTAGAGAGAAAAAAAGGGAAAGGCGCCTCTAAGTGTCAATTAAAAACGTATTTGGTGCACATACAAGAGAGCAACTTACAGGAGGGTAGATAATAGGCACATCAATATTCCATCAATGAGAGTCTGCCACGGTGAACAGCATAGTGTGCAATAGTAGATGATGATCAGTCAACTGTCAGCATCAGGTGAGCCGGCAAGATGGAGAGGGCCTGGTACTGAGGTTTGGAACACACAGTGGAGTGCAGTGTGTGTGTGATGATGACATCACCAGGCGTCGTACCAATGCATTTCCTGAGCATGTGCTGTGAGATGACTGTCCTAGCGCACTCCTTTGTCACCAGGTGGGAGGAATTAGAGAGTAGACGTTGCTGGATCTGGCGGCAGATCCCTGTATCCCATCAGCTTGACAAAGGAGTGCGCTAGGATGGTCATAACACAGCCTATTCTCCCCACGCTCCCCCTGGCTAGTATGGGGATGTAATGCCGTTTGGCATTGGCGTTTGATGGTGGTGCTCTTGGACCCCTGCCCCCCCCCTTTTTTTTTTTTTTCTCTTCTCTTTCTTTTTCCCCTTTTCTATTAGTTTTTGGGTGACAGTGGACAGCTGCCTTTAGTTACAGTTAGAATTTCATTAAAGTTATTGTAACCTATGTGCCATTGATTGCCCCTGCGTGGGTGTATCTTCTGCCTTGTTGGAGTTAGAGCACTGGTTTTTTTTATTATTATGTTTTTTATCTTATCGGTGCAATTGATAGCCCCTGTGGGGGCATGTTTTGTCGCCTCTGTTTTATGCTGATTAAAACTAATAAAAACTATTGAAATATAACACAGCCTATTCTCAACCAGGGTGCCTTGGGTTTCTTCAGGGGTGCCTTGGCAAAAATGTCTACAAATTGCCCAAAACTTGTATACAAGACAGTGGGTAGAACAAGACTGTCTTTTTGTTACACAAAGCCACAGGTTTTCCTTGTACACCATTATGACCTTCTAGCCGCCGGCATCCTGACAACCAATGACATCATCAGTTGATAAGGTGGATACAAGCTGCCTGCACAGCATCCTAGTTTGACCCTCCCCCGCCCCTTTCCTTCACTTTTGGGGTTACA